GAAGCCTGCTATGAGGTCTCCACGCAGCCTTCTCTTCTCCAGGCTGAACAGCCCTAACTTTCTCAGCCTGTCTTCATAAGTGAGGTGCTCCAGCCCCCTTATCATACTTGTGGCCCTCCTCTGGACTTGCTCCAACAGCTCCATGTCCTTTTTATGTTGAGGACACCAGAACTGTGCACAATACTCCAAGTGAGGTGTCACGAGAGCAGAGTAGAGGGGCAGGATCACCGCCTTCAACCTCCTGCTCACATTGCATTGCTAACGGCAGCTCCAGGGCAGGGACTTGGGGGATGCCGCAGGCAAGGGGATGTGTGGCACCTCCACCTGAGCAGACACTGAGCAGCACCGTGTACCTGCAGGCGCCTGCGTGGTCCGGGACGCCTCAGGAAGCCTCAACGACAGCGTGGCGCTGGGCTCGCCGGGCTGCGAGGGGTTGGCCTGCGCCTTTGGGTGGAACTTCACCGCCTGCACCCAGCAGCAGAGCTGCCGATACGGGCTCAGCAACTACTACCAGGTGGTCGCCCATGCTCCTGGCTGGGTCTGTGCTCCAAGGGATGGGTTTCCCAGGGGAGCCTCATACTCAGCATCCTATTGAAGCACCCGTGTAATGCAGATATACTGGGGAGTGTGTCTTCCTAGGGTTTTAGACAAGTCTGGACTTTACTGCCAGGATAATGTTGATGGAAAAGCAGTGAGGGTGGCAGGATGGGGCCCAGAAATCCCTTAGGGCTAGGGCAGAGTTGATGTGCTGGGGATGCAAGATTTCCTGACTGCCTGGTTTTTGGGCAGAGCATGAGCATGGTGTCTGGGTTTGGCCCCCTCATCACAGCAGGGATCTTCGGCGCTACCCTCTCCTCGGCACTGGCCTGCCTCGTCTCAGCCCCCAAAGTCTTCCAGGTGAGAGAGGGGTGTTTGTGTCCCCCAGCTCCCAAGCCTGGCAGCAGGAGTAAGTGATGCTCTTGGGCACGTCTCAGTGCTCTGCTGCTATTAGCAGCCCCAAGGTGAGGAGGATGCTGCCGTTGGTGTAAGGCATGAGGACAGTTCAGCCCTTGCTCTAGGGGGTGCAAGGGCCACCATGGTGCTGCCATTCCCAGTGTGTCTCTCTCACAGTGTCTCTGCAAGGACCAGCTCTACCCTCTCATAGGCTTCTTTGGGAAGGGCTACGGCAGGAACAGTGAGCCCATCCGCGGCTACATGCTCACCTACGTCATTGCGGTGGGCTTCATCCTCATCGGTAGGTGCTGCCCACCCTGTGTCCACCACCAGCTGGTGCCTCAATCCCTGCCATCAGCATCTCGCCCTCCTCCTCCCCGCAGCCGAGCTCAATGCCATTGCCCCCATCATCTCCAACTTCTTCCTCTGTTCCTACGCCCTCATCAACTTCAGCTGCTTCCATGCCTCCATCACCAACTCCCCAGGTGGGCTGTGCCATGCCATGCAGTGCCACACTGTGCCATGGTGTGCCATGCCGTGCCGTGGCAGGCAGTTCCCCGTGTGGCTCAAGTTGCAGCAGCGCTGTGTGTGTTTGGCTGCAGGCTGGCGACCCTCCTTTCGGTATTACAG